TTAGCCTGCCTCTCTCTCTGGGTAAAACCTCTGAGCCATTGCTTTAGAGTTTGGGGTGGATGGTGGCCCACTTCTCCTGGGGTGACACTTCTGCTTTATGAGTAAGCTTCTGGTCTTCTCAGCTTGCCTCTCCTGTCTCAGAATCTCTGTTGGATAAGCAAGCTGGGGCAAGGGTGATAGGGGCTCCAGTCTTCAGTTCCGGTTACACCTGGCATAGAATTTGAGTAGGGGCTCAGTGGAAGTATGAAGCCCCTGACCTCTCAGCTGTACTTGCCTGGAATTTAGTTTCCACAACATGGACCAGGGTTTGAGGGGATGAAAAATGCTGGTGCCCTTTTCTTCATGGGGGTGGGGTGGGGGGAAATACAGTTCTCCTTGACTAGGTACTGAAGGAGTTCTGTCTTCTTAGCCACACCTTTCCAGAATGGAGCTTCCATGATACCGAGGAAAAGGGAGGGGAAAGGTGGGTTGTGGCTCAAGTGCAACAGACTCCCACTGTTACTAATGAGATTTAGATTTTCCTGAATAAATATTTCTTCATTTGCTGTGTGCCATGGGACAATTTCCAGGGATTTTAATGGTTGTCACTTTCACCAGTTAGGATGTTTTACTGGAGAACGAAAACAAAGACCTCCTCATGCCACCATTCTGGAAGTAGAATTGTGGTTGTGTGTGTGTTTTTAATGGTCTCCGTCCCTGCTGACAAAAATCCAGGTCTCTTGTGATGGTCTTCATAAGGATTACTCAAGGTATTTGGGGGCAGCTCTAACAGAATGAAGCTATATTAGGTCAGAGAGAACAGAACTCAGGGAAGAAGGAAGAGACAATGAATGACAAATGCAATGACAGCAAGAATGTCATTTAAGACATTTTTAAATAAAACCATTCTTATAGGTCAACATTTCATTTTTGGGGTTTCTCTTTATGGATGATAGTTAGAATCTTAACCATTCCCTTTCCACTTCAATCCCATTAAGTGGTACTTATTCTATGATTTTAAACCTATTCATCTCCTTTACATTACAAACTAGTATTTACAAAGCACTATACCCATTATTAAAAAGGTGCTTTGCATAACTACACTTGACCTGGAAGCCACCTTTCAGTTGAACAAGGAAATAATTCCCAGCCAGATTATAAAGCTCTCCTGTTCTTCCATGTCTCCCACAAGCAACTGCAGTTTACCTGCAAAACCAGGAACAGATTTCATTTCCGTGTGAAGCTCCCTTCCCCTTTTCTGCTAATGTATGGGAATTTCCTACACATTATTGCTTGACCATCTCACCCTAGATAAAGATTAGTAAGTCATTTTGCATATATTTTGATTTAGAATGTGCTGGTTTTTTTTTTTTTTTTTTAAAGATGACCGGTAAGGGGATCTTAACCCTTGACTTGGTGTTGTCAGCACCACACTCAGCCAGTGAGCGAACCGGCCATCCCTATGTGGGATCCGAACCCGGGGCCTTGGTGTTATTAGCACCGCACTCTACCGAGTGAGCCACGGGCCGGCCCATGATTAACTATTTAAATATTTAATTTGCAAACCACTTTAATGTATTTTCAGCATTTTCAAAGTAGTCCTGCTTGTCACAACTTTTGAGTCTGCCTGAAAATTTTGCAGTATCTAAGTGTTTATGTGTAGTGTTAATGTTTCAGAGTCCCTGAGTATGAGATGTGGTTTCTTATGTGACCATAGCAAGTTACTTTTCTTTGTGCCTCAAATTCTAATTGTTTAAAATGAGAATAGTAACTGATTCATAGATCCCAATACATATCTATTAGTAACAGTAATATTATTGAAGTAGAAAGGTGGTAGTATTTTAAAGAGGAAAAAAGGAAGTAAGGCTCAAAAATCAAATATTTTAGAAGGTAAGTAAAGAGGTGAAGTACAGGAACTTCCTGCCTATTTAATGCTCATGGCAATACTAGCTGTGTGTAAGAGACCATAAAGGTCAAAAATTGAGACAAAGATATTGTCTTCTTAGGATCTGACACTTAAAATTACTATAGAAGGGATACGAGCTCTTTTCTTGCTGAAGTCATGCATAGAATTAATAGGATGGTGGTGGTGATAGTGGAGAAGGGATAAGGACTAGAAAGACAACGAACTCTAGTGATACAATGCTCTCTGAAAATATTACTTGGTTTCAGGTAAGACATAACAGGTAAGCTGTATCTGAAGGAAATTCTAAGACAAGAGTTCCACAAATTATTGGTGTAACTGCATAACACATTTTCATTTAGTTTTCCAAGATGACAACATTGAAGGGCAAGACATACAAAGATATTTTAGTTTCTGACATGTTTAGAAAATTAGTATCATAATTTACAGTCCCAGCTCAACATTCATCTTCAAAAATGATGAACAAAACCATTGTTTTTTTTGTTTTGTTTTTGTTTTTGTCTTTTTTCGTGTCTGGCAATGGACCGCAACCCTCAGTGTCGCGCCCGCACCGGACCGGGACCGGCAACGGGATCGCAACCCTCGGTGCTGCGCCTGCCCCTCGCTCAGCCATTGAGCAGGAACCGGTCTGTATGTGGGATCCGAACCCTCGGCGGGAGCGCCACCGCGCTTCCCAAGCGGCGCACTGTAGCATTGTTAATTTTAGATTGCAGATATGACTGCAATTCATTTCAAAACCATTGTTCACTATTTTCAGTTTTAAAACATTTTAAATTTGGGCCAGCCCGGTGGCGCACTGGAGAGTGCGCCGCTTGGGAGTGTGGCGGCGCTCCCGCTGAGGGTTCAGATCCCATGTGGAGACCGGTTCCCGCTCACTGGCTGAGCGTGGTGCGGGCGCAACACCGAGGGTTGCGATCCCGTTACCGGTCAGTAAAAAAAAAGACAAAAAGGAAAAAAAAACCAACAAAAAAAAACATTTTTAATTTAAAATCTAGGAAATATTTGATGTAAGAAAAATTAGGATAAAGCTCAATATAGCATATTAATTTCATCTTCATTCAAGGAAAGGCTAAAAGGTTTGGATAGCAGTCCCTTTTTATAATATTACTTGACAAATAAATATTTATAACTTATGTAAGGTTAGGTTGTGCTTTAAAAGGAAATTATGCCTTAGAGAATAACAGAATTTATAAGAAAAACTGTGAAAATAAAATGACAGCTCAATAAAGCAAAGATTGATTTGTTTCAAACAAACTAAAATAACAGTATTTCTAATGTTTAAATTGGTCACAAGGAAACATATAGGGCAGCAAAAGAGATATTCCTTACACAATCCCTCTAAAAACACACAGAACATTCCCAACTTAGAATTTTTGACTTTATGATGGTGCAAAACCATTGGTTTTCACTTTCAGTATTCAATAGATTACATGAGATATCTAAAACTTTATTATAAGATAGGCTTTGTGTTAGATGATTTTGCTCAACCATAAGGACCCAAAGTAAACCAAAACTCTGAAAGACAGATTTCAGAGTGAATGATGGTAAAATAATCCAATAATCTTGTGGAAAGTAGAAATGCCTGGTAAATAGAAAGAGAAGTTGAGATCATAGTGGCTATATAAAACAGTCCCAAACTTAGGATGAATTGAATTAAGATTTTTTTCAACTTTACAATGGTGTGAAAGTGATAAAGTAGCAAACCATACCATGAGTACCCACACATTGTTTTTCACTTTCGGTACAGTATTCAATCCATTACATGACATATTGAACACTCTATTATAAAACAGATTTTGGATCAAATGATTTTGCCCAGCTGTAGGCTAATGTGTTCTGAGCATGTATAAGGTAGGCTAGGCTAAGCTATGATGTTCATGTTAAATGCATTTCCGACTTAGGACATTTTCCACTTACAATGGATTTACTAGCATGTAATTCCATTGTAAATTGAGAAGAATCTGTAGTATCTCCAAAAGCTTGTACTTATCAGAAATCTGAATCTTATAACCCCTTTAAAATGAATGTTTCTTATTAACTTATTCAATATAATACAGGGACAGGATACAGAATACCATGATGCCTGATCATATTAAATTCAGTTCTATCTGGAGCTGAAGTGAACACAGCTCCCATCACTCCATATCCCCAGTGGGACAGAATAGTGTGAAGCTAAGGTCTGAGTCCTAACTCTCCACTTACTAGCCATGTGGACTTAGCTGGGTCAGGGGACCTCTATGGGCTCCACTTGCCTCATCTATAAGATGGAGATAAGGCGAGTCTCATAGATTTGCTGTACATCATAGATCATAGATTTGTAATGATTAAATGCCAAATTGCTGAACAGAATGAATGCCTGTGTGGTAGAAACATCCAATAAAGGAAGTTTTTTTTTTTTAAACAAATGCATTCTGATCATCACAAGGATACAAAAAACTAAAGTTATGTTTAACAGTACCTGTGTAAATACTATATTAGTTCATGACTAACAGAAGTATGTACAGGAGTTCCTTGTGCAGAACTACATTTGTCAGGTGTGGAATACACCACACTGTCTATTGCCACTTTGCTGTCCTATTTCAGTCTTGTGTTATTGTGTGTCTTTCTTACTTCTGTATACTTTACAAAAAACTTTACATTTTTAAAAAGTCTACCACTGACTTAGAAGTACTTATAAACACATTGGCTTCATCCTCTCGTAACTCTCTACACATCAAGAAAGAGTGGGGGAGAAGTTATATGTAATTTTTTTTACTATCTTGTTAAATAACAAACCATATTGCTTTTTCTGTTTCTGTCTGTAATTTTACATTTTGCATTATAAGATGTGGGGAAAATGGTGTCATTTAGTGTGAAAAGGTAGTGTGAAAATCCATATCTGCCTCCAACCAACAGACTACATGGGTTACGAATGCCATTCCTTCATCACTTGCAGAATGACCACACATGTGTTTGACACTTTGTTGTTCTGATTAATCAACTTATTAAAAAAATTTGTACTTCACAGCAAACAAGTCAATAAGTCATTAAGATTTTTCTAACACACTTAAAAACACTTTTTGCATTAGTTTTGAACCAAGATGTTCAATGTAGTTCTTTTTTGAAACATGATTTTTCAAATTCATTAAGTTTGTGTAGTTGCTTCTCAGTATGAATATTCTGGTGCTTACTAGTTCTGGAACTATTGTTAAAGGCATCCCACATTTACTACATTCATAACATTTCTAGCCAGTATGAATTCTATGATACACATTGAAGTTCTGATCACTGAATTAAGGTTTTCTCATTCCATTAAAAGAATTTCTATTCAATATGAATTCTCTGATGAACAATGAGAGTAGATTTCTTGCTGAAGGCTTTTCTACAATCACTGCATTTATAGGGTTTTTCTCCGGAATGTATTCTCTGATGTACAATTAGCTCTGCCTTCCTGTTGAAGGCTTTTCCACACTCATTACATACATGGGGTTTCTCCCCAGTATGAATTCTCTGATGTACAATGAGCTGAGAACGCCAGATGAAGCCTTTTCCACACTCATTGCATTCATATGGTTTCTCTCCAGAATGAGCTCTTTGATGCACACTAAGTGTTGACTTCTTAATGAAAGATTTCCCGCATTCATTGCATTCATAGGGTTTTTCCCCCGTGTGAATCCTCTGATGAATAATGAAGTTTGACTTCTGAATGAATGCTTTCCCACATTCATTACATTCATAGGGTTTCTCTCCTGTATGAGTTCTCTGATGTACAGTGAGTTGTGACTTCTGAATAAAGGCTTTTTCACATTCATTACATTTGTATGGTTTCTCCCCAGTATGAATTCTTTGATGTACAATGAGTCCTGACTTTCCACTGAAGGCTTTCCCACACTGCATACATTTATATGGTTTCTTGCTGGTAATTTTTGGTTGTACAAAGAGGTGTGACTTCTGCATAAAGGTTCTCATGTGTTCACTAGATGTTCTGTTCAGAGGAACTACCTTCCCCAGTGCATTACACTCATGGTCTATCTCCTCAGTCAGCAACTTACTATTATCGAATGCAACTTGGTTCAAAAGCTTGTCTTGGTTTTCCTGGTGATTTAGCTCATCTTCAAGTTTCCAGTCTTCAAAAATTGAGTATACTATCATGTTATGGAGTATCACTTCTTCAGAAATGCTCTTTTTTGAAGTTAATTCTTTAATTTCGGGTCTAATTTCAAAGTCTGAAAGAAAGCCCAACCATAAATGATATTGCTTTGCTCTTCAGCTTTGAAGACAAAACAAAACATGAAAACAACCACCAAATAAATTTTTTCATTTTAATGGAAATAGCTAGAAACGAGTATGGTCAGCTTTGAAATTTAATAATATGACACAAAGATAAAGAATAAACCCAAAGATAGAAGAAGAAACAAACATAAAAAAAAGTGGGCAGGGGAGCAGTGGAAAAAGAAGAGTTAATGAACCCAGTGTCATGGCCCTACATGGTCCCATACTCTTCTGCCTCACCCCCACTCCACCACAAGGCTCTGTGCATAGCAAAGGCAGACCAAAAAACAACTACAGAAAAGACAGAGGATGGATGCTAACAAAGGGCCCTGAGGATGAGTTCAAGTGACCAGTGGAAAGATTAAATCCACACTAAATCTAGAAATACTTAAAAATAATCAGGCAACTTAGAGAACAATTACAGGGAAAGGATTTTAAAGTACATGCATCTTAAAAGTCAAATGACATATAAAGGGCCAGGAACAAGTCTGAACAGATTCTATTTAAAGGGCACAAGCCTGAGTTAAAAGAATAGCATAGTTTCAAAGGGAGAAAAAAGGCAAAAAAGGAGGAAAAAGCACCCACTAGTAATTGGGTGGTGGTGATAGGAAAAAGGAGAAAAAGGGGGCAATTTTAGGGTCCTGCAAGACCAGAGAGACCAAGAAAGAAAAAATGAAAGAAAGAAAGAAGGAAAGTAAGAGCTCTTCTACAGTCCTTAGACTTTGCTATCTTAACGGGAAAGGGCTCTATAAAATTAGAAATGCTGTAAAAACACCATGAAATGATAAAAATGTAAAGAAGGAAAGTCCAGTCCGTAGAGAACTATTACAGAAAATCAGGAAATGAATTTGTACAGAAATCCATACAGGAAATTGTCCTCTGCAAAAAACAAAAACAAAAAAACTAGCCATGAAACAGAAGAAAAATTTGCAATGAAACAGAATTAAATCTATCCAAACAAACATTTAAGAACATAGAAACTGCCATCAATCAGAACTTTGAAAAATAAAAACTGAATGGACAAAAAACAGGGAGAAATGAGAAAAAATTTTCTTTAAAATACTCAGAAGAAAAAGGATGTGGGAAGGAACAGATGTAAGAAGATTTTCAAATGTTGATAATTACTGAGGCTGGATGATAGGTACATGGAAATTATAGTTGCCTCTACTTTTGTGTATGCTTGAAACTTCCCATACTATGACATAAAAGAGTATATATGTGTGTATTTGCTTATTTAAAAGAAAAAAAATAGAGAAATGTTGGATAGATAAACCAGAAAGCAATATAAATGGCTATCTACAGTGCAGGAGATTGAGGAAAACAACGAGAAGGGACAGGAATAAAGCCAAGACTTCTGTGAGAATATCTTTCTATATAGCTTTAATTTTTGAAACATGAAAATGTTTTATGTTTTCAGAAAATAAAATTTAATCAAAAAGAAAAATAAACTCTAAAATGAACACAAACTGAAAGAAATGAGTTAACTACATGTTAAGTTGATAAAATAACCACAGAAGAATTATTCCAAGCAACCTTTGAACTCTGTCCTCTAACTATATGTCTTTAGTGGGATCTATTCTAAAAACATGAAGAACTATACAGAAATCTTAAATGGTCAATTAATTCTCTCTCAAGTATTGATATTGGTATTATAACTTTGAACTATATATATTAGTTTGAAGCTACTACTTCATATTAAGATTTTGAGTACAGGTGGAAGGATATATAAATATAAAAGCAAAAAAAGAAAAATAATATTTCATGGATCAATGGGAATTTTATTTCCCTGCCTCCAATATGCTAGGTTCTCACTTACCTGCATAGGCCCAACTTGAGATTCTTTCCTCCTCCATCCACGGTTTTGCTTGCTTTAACAAGAAGATTACGTCTGACTTCAGAGACTGATAACCTGTTTATGAGAAATGATACAGAACTTCAGCATTAGTGGACAATCAACCATTCTAGAACTAGGCCCACTACATATGCACTAGAATGGCTAAACGAAAAAGACTGACATTACCAAATGTTGAAGGAACTCTCATTCATATGTTGCTGACAGGACATAAATCGGCATAACCTCTTTGGAAAACTGTCTAGTAGTATCTACTAAAGCTAAATATATGTATGACTTATGACTCAGCAATTCTACTCTTACATATATACCCAATAGAAATGAAAAGCTTATTTCTACCAAAAAATACACATATGCCCAGTAATGTTCATAACAGCTTTATTCATAATAGCCCAGACCTGAAACAAACCAAATGACCACTGACAGTAAGATGGATAAACTGGTGAATTACTATATACTCATTAAATGGAACATGACACAACAATAAGGAGGAACAAACTACTGCTACATGTAACAACAGGGATAAATTTCACAGACACATCAAATGAAAAATGCCAGACAACAAAAACTTATATGTGTGATTCTACCTACATGAAATTCAAGAACAGACAAAACTAATCTGTGGTGATAGGAACCAGGATAGTTCTTACCTCTGAGGAGGCAAATGACAAGGGGCTCAAGTGAGCCTACTGGGGTATATCTTGATCTAGGTAGTGGTGAGATAGGTGTATACATATGAAAAAATGCATCAAGCTATATATTTAATATTTGAATACTTTACTATATACATTAAACCTCAATTAATTTATAAAAACTAAGAACAACTTAGGCCCAGTCTATCATCTTTAGCCTCCAAAGAACTAGCAGGATGCAGTATCTAGTTTCTTTCTAACCAAGCTCACTAGAGAGGTAGAGCATGGTATTTGGTACTAAAAAGTTAATATTCTTTTGTGCCATTAAGCTCATTAACCATTCAGAGACACAAGCTTTTAGTAAATAAGAAAGGAAAGGCAGTCAATTGGGTACTCTGGTAGGTTTAACATATGTTCATAAATTCTTTGACATTCTTACCTTCAAGAGGTGGATCTTAATTCTCCTTCCCTTAAGCATGGGCTGGACTTAGTAACTTACTTCTAACAAACACAATAAGATACAAGCAATGGTGTGATTGTGGGGATTTGGTCATAAAAGGCATTGCAACTTCCTCTTTGCGCTCTCTCTTGGGTCACTCTATCTGGGGGAAGTTAGCTGCCATATTATGAGAAGAGGCTGACATGACAAGAAACTGAAGTCTTCTGCCAATGGATAGCAAGGAACTGCAGGCTCCTGCCAACAGCCATGTAAGTGAGCCATCCTGAAAAAGGAGTTTACAGCCCCAGTCAAATGTTCAGATGACTGCAGCCCCTGCCAGTATCTGACAGCAATGACATAAGAGACCACAGCCAGAACCACTCAGCTAAGCCATTACAAATTCCTGACCTCCCAAAGTTGCTGTAAAAAATGTTTGTTTTAAGCCACTAAATTTAGGGGTAATTGTTATAGAGCAATAGGTATCAAACACAGGTACTCTCTGAGGGAAAATGTCCTTACCCACTGAAACAAGGTTGCTATAATTCTCCAGCATCACATCCCTGTATAGGTTTCTTTGTGCAGAGTCCAGCTGCTGCCACTCCTCCCAAGTGAAGTCCACAGTCACATCCTTGAATGACACAAATCCCTGTAACAGGACATTCTTGTTTAATCTGGAGTGAAAACCACTGGGTTATGTGTAAAAGATGTATGGGAATTTATTGTTGTTTTCAACATGCAGAATTCATTGTAATAAATTAAAGAAGATATTTACTATGAGTCTAATTTTGAGTTCTACTATGTGGGAGAAGCAAAACTTACGTTAAAAAAAAGTAAGAAAGGGGCCGGCCCCGTGGCTCACTCGGGAGAGTGCAGCGCTGGGAGTGCCAAGGCCGCGGGTTCAGATCCTACATAGGGATGGCCAGTGTGCTCACTGGCTGAGCATGGTGCAGACAACACCGTGCTGAGGGCTGCAATCCCCTTACTGGTCAGGAAAAAAATAAATAAATGAATAAAAATAAAAAGTAAGAAAGAAAGACATGGGGACATTAAAAAACATAGAAAATTCAAGAAAAATGTGAGTACTTTAGTATAATTCTCCCAAAACACGATTTATGCCACCTTCAGAATTTTTACCATATCTGCATGTCACCTGCACTATAATTAACTAAATAGTTTTAACCCAACTCAGTCTTTTTTTTTTTTTTTTTTTTTTTTTTAAAAGATGACCAGTAAGGGGATCTTAACCCTTGACTTGGTGTTGTCAGCACCACGGCTCAGCCAGTGAGTGAACCGGCCATCCCTATGTGGGATCCGAACCCGGGGCCTTGGTGTTATCAGCACCGCACTCTCCCGAGTGAGCCACGGGCCGGCCCCCAACTCAGTCTTTTTACTGAAAGAAGCTAATTTTAAAAGGAAAATATTAAAAGAAAAATCAGTATCATTTATCATAAAATGACAGTAACACCAACAATCGACAAAACAAGTAGAGGTTGAACATCTCTAATCTGAAAATACAAATTCTGATATGCTCTAAAATCTGAAACTTTGTGAACACCAACATGACACCACAAGTGGAAAAATCCACACCTTTGATCCCAAGCATTTCACATAAAGACACTCAACCTGTAATAGTGGTGAAAAGAGGACATTAACATTGCAGAATGCCTCCTCACCCTAGAGAACCCACTTCCTAGTCCCTCAATTGCATCTTATGTTTATTCTCACCTAAATAAATAAAATTCAGTGTACAGTAGCCTTTTAGTCAAAATAAGTACTGTAGGTAGAGTCTGAAAGCCTGTTGTCTGTTCACCTGATACATATATATATATATATCTATATATTTTTTTTTTTTAAAGATGGCCGGTAAGGAGATCTTAACCCTTGACTTGGTGTTGTCAGCACCACGCTCAGCCAGTGAGCGAACCGGCCATCCCTATATGGGATCCGAACCTGGGGCCTTGGTGTTATCAGCACCGCACTCTCCCGAGTGAGCCACAGGCCGGCCCGTGATACATATATTTTGGTGATGAAACTCTGCTGCTTAGTTATTCTCAACACATTATTTTTTTACTGTATAAATGGTATGTCATATTTTTTACTGTTAAGTACTTATTTGTAAATAAGTGTGAGGACCCAAGTCATGGAGAAGGGGACCAGAACCCCCTCCCACAACCAGGCACACCACGCCAGCACCTCGTGGCCTGCCCACAACCAGGCAAACTGCCAGTGCCTCGTAGCCCCGCCCAGGGGCCTGGGACATGGAGCCAGGGACCAGACACACCCCACAACCAGGCACACTGCCAGCGACAAGGAGCATGTCAAAAACATCACCTCCATGACAGTGGCTCACCACAGCCACCACAATAACTATGAATGCTGTGAAAGTGGCTAGATGCCACAACCACCAGATAGTCTGCCTACCACTGGAGTGCAATGTCACAAGGAGAGTCACCAGCAGAGATAAAGAAAAGAAGAGGATGTCTCTCTCCACAAAGCCCATTTCAGAGTGATAGAAGAAGTATCTGCTCTGTGATAATATTGGGGGACCTGATCACACCTCTCAGCATTGGACAGATCATCTAGGCAACAAATTAACAGAGTAACCATTATTCTTTTGGAAGGAGAGAAGAAATCTAGGGTAATTAGATGGGGGAGAGGGGACGGAGAAGGGGATGGGGAGTGATTGGACAAGGGGCATAAAGAATAAGTATGATTTGTAACAATATATATGCTAGTAATATTGATTTGATCAACATATCTCAATGTTCAACCCCCAAAATATGTATAATCAATTTTGATTTAATAAAAAAATTAATTGAAAAATGAATGAATAAATAAACAAATAAATAAAAATAAGTGTGAGGAAATGATTGCTTATTGGTAGCATATAAATTCAGAGTCAGGAATGATGGTAATGCCAAACAACAACAGATTGTCCACATGGGTGGCTGAGATAGTGACACCTTTGCTTTCTGATAGTTTCTTTCTTTTTTTTTTTTTTTGTCTTTTGTCTTTTTCCGTGTCCGGCAACGGATCGCAACCCTCAGTGTTGCCCCCGCACCGGACCGGGGACCGGCAACGGGACCGCAACCCTCGGCGCTGCTCCCGCGCCTCGCTCAGCCAGTGAGCGGGAACTGGTCCGCATGTGGGATCCGAACACTCGGGCGGGAGCGCCGCCGCGCTTCCCAAGCGGCACACTTATCCAGTGCGCCACCGGGCCGGCCCTGCTTTCTGATAGTTTCAAACACAAAATTATTAAAAACATTGTATACAATTACCTTCATTGTATATAACATAAATGAATTTCTTGTTTAGACTTTGGTCCCATTCCAAGATCTCTTATTATATATACACAATATTCCAAAATCTGGGGGGGGAGGGGGAATCCAAAACACTTCTGGTCCCAACCATTTTGGATAAGGGATAGTCAACCTGTGTGTACCAGTGAAATACCACATATATAATTTGCTTTAAAATATTCCCAACAAAGGAAGGAAGGAAAGATGTGAGATTGGTAAAATATTGATAATTGTTGAAGATAGATAAAAAAGTATAGGTGGTTTATTATATTATTCTCTAAATTTTTATGTATGTTTGTGTTTTTCCATTAAAAAACTCTGAAAAATTAAAAACAATAGAAACCAATGTTTTTAAAGTTTAAATTAAAATAAAACATAAGCAATATTAAATCTAACCAATTTATTTTTAAATGCATGTCTGGAGATAATAAAAAGAATGGAATAATTTGTGAACAGTTAGTAATAAAGTGCTGTTGAGATTACTGTTGCTTACATTTTGAACCATGATTAAGTTCTACTCCAATAAGAAAATTCCATTTTTTAAGTTGATGTTAATCAAATCCAACCAGGATATATGTAAAAGACACTGTATGAAGGAAGGAGAGGAATCAATTAAAACTCCTTGGCTTTTGGGCAGGCCCGGTGGCGCACTGGATAAGCGCTCCCACCGAGGGTTTGGATCCCACATACAGACCGGTTCCCGCTCACTGGCTGAGCGAGGTGCGGGGAGCAACGCCGAGGGTTGCAATCCCGTTGCCGGTCCCAGGCCGGTGCGGGCGCAACACTGAGGGTTGCGATCCGTTGCTGGTCATGAAAAAAGACAAAAAGGAAAAAAAAAAAAAACTCCTTGGCTTTTGATCTAAGCAATTAGTATCTCAATAAAGTCCAGAGAATGAGAAAGAGCAGGTTTGGGCAGAGGGGAAAGGTAAAATCAAGAATACTATTTGTCCAATAAGAAACTCAACTTAAAAATGGGCAAAGGACTTAGACATTTCCCCAAAGAAGATATGCAAGTGGACAATAAGCACATGAAAAGATGCTCAACATCATTAGTCATTAGAAAAATGCGAATCAAAACCACAGTGAGATACCACTCCATCCCTACTAGAATGGCTAAAATTGACAAAAGGGAAAATAACAAGCATAGTGAGGATGGGAGAAACTGGAACCCTCATACATTGTTGGTGGAAATATAAAATGGAGGGGCCGGCCTGTGGCTCACTCGGTAGAGTGCGGTGCTGATAACACCAAGGCCCCGGGTTCGGATCCCATATAGGGATGGCCGGTTCGCTCACTGGCTGAGCGTGGTGCTGACAACACCAAGTCGAGGGTTAAGATCCCCTTACCGGTCATCTTTAAAAAAAAAAAAAAAAAAGAAAGAAATATAAAATGGAGGATTTGTTGTGAACAACAATTTGGCAGTTACTCCAAATATTAAGAATAGAATTACCATATGGCCCGGCAATTCACTCCTAGGCATATACCCAAAAGATCTGAAAACAGGTACTCAAATACATACTTGTACACCAATACAAGCAGCTTTATTCACAATAATCAAAAGGTAGAAAAAACTCAAGTGACCAGGATAAACAAAATGTGATATACCCATACAAGGGAATATTATTCAGTAATTAAAAAGGAATGAAGTTCTGATACACACTACAACATTAACAAACCTTGAAAACATAAGTGAAGTAAGTCAGACAAGAAAGGACAAATAGTGCATAATTCCACATATATGAAATATGTAGAACAGGCAATTTCATAGCGTCAGAAAGTACATTCAAGTACATCCAGGGCCTGGGGTACGGGAGTACATAGCGAAGAATGGGGAGTTATTGCTTGATAGGTACAGAGTTTCTGTTTCGGGTGATGAAAAAGTTTCGGAAATAGATATTGGTGATGGATGTACAAGACTGCAAATATAATTAATGCCAGTAAATTGTACACTTAAAAATAAAGTAGCAAATTTTATGTTATATATATTTCATTGCATAAAAAATGAATTCTACTTGTCCAAGTTAAGTTTGAGGTATCTATTATAATAGATATCCAAGTGGCAATACTGAGTAGGTAATAGGACTTCAACAGGATGACAGTTGCTCAGACCAAAACCCAAGATACATGGAATCTGAGCTGAGAAAAGAGAGATCAGAAGTGGGGTAAGGGACGTAATGGATAGTGAAAAAATGGAGAGTCAACAGATCAGAGGTCTAGATGGAAGTAAGCAATTGCTACATCAACATACTAGAGTAAATGGGCTAGAAACACAGAAATAATGACCAGAGGGTGAAATGCTTTGAGGTGGTACAGTTATTGGTAATTACAAATCTAGAATATGACTATGGGAGCTGGTGTCTAAGCTTGGGTGAAGGAAAATTATCTCTGGAAATAAGGACGTACATTGGTAGCAATGGTACATACCCAGAAGTCCCCAAATTTTTAAAACCAGAGACACTTCTTGGTTAAGGAAAAAAAAACTATGCACCATCAGTATGTACCTTTCTAAAAAAACACAAATTATATACACGTACTTTAATACTGAAATATTATGGTCATCAAAGTGATAAAAAATAGAAGTTCTCATATTTTCTCCCCATACCCCAGAGGATCAAATTGCACATCTCCTGAGGAATGTGTGTTCTCCACTTTGAAGACTATTGTACTGAAGCTATATGTTACATAATGTGTATAACTAGCAGAATATTATAGATAGAAATTAAACAACATATGCACCCTTCAAATAAAAATTAAAACCGCAGACAATTACAACCACCGTGATGCTGGCTAGCAGTGTTTAGCTGAGTGATAAACCAACAGAAATGAGCACATTCATTTGAGCTCCACTATCTACTAAGCATGCTCAATTGATATGCACTTTGAGGCTCTCAGCCTATTGCATTTTAAAAGAAAAATATCTGATTACTTTATTTACTTGTTAAAAACTATATAAAATTGATGCTATTATTACCTTTAATGACACGAATCCCCTGGACCAACATTACACACTCCCAGGGTTGAGAAATGCTGTCCCCCCCCCATTATAGATTTTATTCTTGGATCAAGGCAGACTGTCAAAGTTGTATACTTGGACCGCATAACTTTACTGCCCAGAAGAACTGAATTCACTGAATTCTGCCTTGTTATTAAGCCTATGTTTAATTTTAGAAATGGTTTAAGAAAGCACTAAAAAGAAACCTGCTATGGAATTTATCATAGGTTAATAAACGTTAAGGACATTGTCTACCACATTAAGTGCATGCAGACTTATCAAGAGAGTAACTTCAAACCTAAATGCCAGAAAATCCTTACTTCCCGAGACATTATCACATTTAATGTATAATGCAAATCATTTAATTAAACACAATATGCTCAACTTTAACTATGAAAGATCCTATAACTTATATGATTATGTTCCAAGTTTCCTTTGTCTAGATCTAAGATCTACTTTCTTTTATCTCTATTTACAATTTTTTCATTTAATTGAATTATTTTAAACTGCCTCAACTGCACTGGAAAACAAAATTGTGTATAAATAGATAGCTCATTTACCTGAGATGTGGTCATTTTCTGCTGTTCTTCAGAAGGGGCAGATATCTGTAAAGACAAGCTGGGATAAGCAGTTAGGGGATAAAAAGAAGATAGCCTTGAGAGTCTGGGCCTGTCCTGATCCCCCAAATCATCAGCCTAGAAATCCCTATAATCAACTCCAGAAAAGACTACCCTTTGGAGACTTCCTCTTTCAAAGGTTTCTTGCAGAGAGACCACAGAGGATTATGTTGTGATAACATCAACCTGTTAACTTACAGTTTTGAAAAGATCAATACATGATGTTTTTCCTTTGAGGATGTGAATGTCTGTATTCTATTCATACATTAAAAATGTTTCTCCACCTTTGACCCCACAAGTCTATCATTAGATATTTATTCTGACAAAATAACTGTGGACATACACGTTATATCTGCAGGGATATTCATTACAATGCTGCTTTATCACCTAAAAAGTAGAAATCACCTAGATGTCTAATAATAGGGATTGATTAAATCAATTATGGAAAAGATAGAATATTATAGTCATTAAAAATGATGTCTTAGGAAAGTATTTACAGACCTGAAAATTTTTTCTTGTATTACAAAGTGAGAAAAATAGTTATAAAACAGAATGTAATATATAATCCCAGTTTAAAAGAAAAAAAGTGTCTGAAAGGGCATACATCAAAATGTTTATGGTTTCCTTTGGGTGGGAGGATTACAAATAATTTCTATTAAGTTGCATTTGCCATTTTCAGTTTCTAATTTTTCTAGAATAAACTTATATTACTTTTGAAATAAAAAATAATAGTTATTTTTAGCATAAAAAATTAAAAAATAGTTATTTTTTACTGACCTCTTTACCCAAGCTCATATCAAAGAAGTTCTAAAGGGCACAATTCACCAGAGGCAATTTAACTGAAAGAATACAAACAGGAATTCAATAAGCTGCAATAGTCACTGTTATTTATTAACATAATGGATCAGAAAACTTTTATGTCACTTCATCCTTTTCTAGAAACTGGTCTTTATGGTTTTCAAACAGCTTTATTGAGGTATAATTTACATACCATAAAATTCACCCATTGTAAATGATTTTTAGAAAATTTATAGAGTTGTACAACCATCACCACGAGCCAGATTTAGAATATTTCCATCACTCCAGAAAATACCCTCATGCCTCTTTGCAATCAATCCGTGCTCCCACCTCCAGCCCCAGGCCACCACTAATTTGCTTTCTGTCTATAGATTTGCCTTTTCTGAAAATGTCATATAAATGAAGTCATACAATATGTAGTCTTTGGGTCTGGCTTATTTCATTTAGCATGTTTTCAAAGTTCATCCACGTTGCAGCATGTGTCAGTAGTTTGTTCCTTTTTGTTACTCAACACTGTTCTGTTATATGGATATACCACCTTTATTTGTCTACCAGTTGATGAATACCTGGATGAGTAATATGCTATGAACATTTGCATACAAGTCTTTGTATGGATCTGGTCCATCTTTTTGGTTGCCTCTTCTCACTTGGTTGTAGTTTCTTGAGAGGAACTTTCATTGAGCTTTGTCACTGATGAACTGTGTTGTGGTGGGCTCTAGGCCTAGGCTCTCAGACTAAAAAGCTGGATAAGCATATCACTCGCTTAGGTCCAGCTTCACTAATCTTTGAAATAAGGAGGTACGACTGGAAAATACCTCAAATATTACCATTCGGACATTCAATAAAATAAAAATTAAAGTGATTTTTTTTCCTCTGCCATGGTCAGGGTATACGGGGAATCAGCATTTCACTAAATACCAGTTGACAATGGAAATGGTATGAGAACAAACTCAATCTGAAAACTGACAAGGCAAGTGAAGGAAGAGGCAGCATGTGTAAATCCTTAGGGAGGGGAACAATATACTTGGGAGCTGGTGATCCTTTTCCATCTATACCAAGAATCCATTTTTACAGTGAATCTGTCCTTGTGGCAGCCTCCCACTTTCAAACCCCCACCTTCCCATGATATTCACCTCTCCTATATCTATAGGAATGGGATCTCCCATTACAACATAATTTATCACCTAGCTTTCCAGGTCTAAAAATGTTAGTGCGTGTTCTGTGCAGTGACTCTTCTGCCTCTGTCCCGAAACTCTAGTGACAGCTCTGAAATCTGGGATGTCTCTTCTTTTTTTTTCCCCTATCCCACTGAGACCCTGCTGACTTGGGGGCAAATTCATGTATCTTTACCCAGGGTTCCAGATCCCTGTCTCCCCCTGTGAATTCATCCTCAAGAAATAGACTGGACCTTCCAAGTCTTTAAAAGGTTGCTAGGGATACAAAACAGCTAAAGACAGAAGGAAGGGCACAGTGGCTTCAATTTGGTAATCTAATTCAAGGGCTTTGCAAATAACCTGGAATATAATGATTGTTTGGTTGAGTCATTTGGCATCTATTTTTCAAACCAATCCTAGAGGTGCTTAGAGGGATAGGTTACCAGGCCAAATTTTGTGGAGGGTACAAAGTAGAGTACTTAGTCTATTTCTGTGGTTTAGACAGCATCAAATACCGGAAAGACAAGATCTGGAGCAAGCATGAATTTAGGTAGAATTAATATACATATCAACAAGAGTTTGAGTAAGACTATCTCATTTCTCTAAATCTCACACTCCTCTGTGAAGGTAAAGATGACAGATCCTACCTCACAAGATTACAGTGATGACTAAGAAAGATTTTTTGAAAAGTATGTAGCACTGTGCCTTGTAATAATCATCGTCATCTAACATTTATGTAGTGTTTATTTCCTGCTAGGCAGTATATAGCTCTATACATAGAGTACCTCATCTATTCTTCAAAATCACTCTAGGAATTGGGTACTATTTTACTTCCACTTTTTAAATTAATTTTTATTTTCATCTAAAGCATATACATAATTGTAAACCCTCAAAATGAAAGACAGTCATTCTCTGCCTTACCCCTAATTCCTGCTCCTCAGGGCCAATTACTTTCAACTCTTTTAGTAGCTTCTAAAAACTGACTTATCAACTTTATTTTTTATTTTTATTTATTTATTTTTTACTGACTTATCAACTTTAAACATTTCCTATTAGTTTCTTAGAACTGAAGTTGAGGATTCAGCCCTCTTACACTACCATCTCCATTTCCCTTCACATCACAATTTTGGTTAGATCAATTTTCACTGTTTACATAATTACATTTCCTTTATTGTACAACTTTTTGTTTTCCCTAGACTTAATTTTTGTCTTAATGGCTGAGTTTTCTACAAACCTATCTCCCCAGCAGACATAGTACATTAGATAATTCATCAGATTCCTCTTTTCTCCCCCAAGAATCTTCCATTCTTCCTGCTCCTAAGCAGACTGTTTAACCAAGGTTTAGAGCACAGAGTGGGTATGGCACTAATTGAAATGATCTTATCCCTTCTCTGTCTGGTAAACTTGTTCCTTCAAGGCTCAGTTCAAATGTCACCTTCTCTAGAAAGCTTTTCCAGATGCCTCCTGGATAGAATCAGCCATCCCTTCTTCTGACTTCCCCAGAGTGTCCAACACTCTAATACACTGTTGTTGTTGTTTTTTGATTCAGGCTTAAGGCAAGGGATGATGCAGCCTGAACTAAGACACGGAAGTGGAAATGGGGAGAAAAATCAGAGAGAAGTCAAGGAGGAAGAATCACCAGGATTTGAAGATAAACTGGATATGGGGAGAAGGGTGGAAGGAGGAAATTAGGTATCTCCAGGGTTTCTAGTATGGCCATGTGGATGAAGAGTGGTGCCATTCACCATGATGTAGGAAACAGCAGGATGAGCAGGTAGGGTAGCAATAAGGAACATGATAAACTGTTTTGATATTTTGAACATACTGAGATTGAGGTGTCTGTCAGTAACTCATAGAGATGTTGATGCTACAGATTTGTAAGTCTTGAGTGTAAAGGTAGAAGCTGACACAAAGAGACCCACAGCATTGGATCCCCAGGTTGTGACTCGCTATGCTTCAGCCGAATCACGGATGTCATCCTCCCTCCTGGGTATTTGCTGAAGAGTTGGGATGGAAACTACCACAGGCCTTTCTTAGTCATTTCCGCAGGAATCATTGCTAGAGAGGAAATGGCTGGGCAGAGACTCATGTGCATTTCAATGTTTCGTCTATACTGCCAGAATGTCCTCTAGAGAAGTCGTACCGTTTACACTGCACACATAGCACAATGTTGATAAGAGAAGCTGAGTGTAGTGGGGTGAAGTGGCATTTTAACAGTTCTAATAGTTTAGTGAAAGAAAGCAGATCTTTTTTTTTTTTTTTTAAAAAAGATGACCGGTAAGGGGATCTCTACCCTTGACTTGGTGTTGTCAGCACCACGCTCAGCCAGCGAGCAAACCGGCCATCCCTATATAGGATCCGAACCTGTGGCCTTGGTGTTATCAGCACCGCACTCTACCGAGTGAGCCACGGGCCGGCCTGAGAAAGGGTTTTTGATGAGAAACTTGGGCTTAATGTACTCAGCTAGTGTGTAGGGGCAAAGGGAAACTTCTTGACCTCTTAAGGTTCACTAATAAAAATCACTGTCAAATTTAGATCAATGTGAAGACAAGGCATAACAAATTTTATTAAACGTTCCAGGAGAAGCCAAAACCTGGGGGAATCACAAAACAGTAATGTTCCAAATGTCCCATGCGGGTACAAAGCTTATATGCCAGTGTTCAGAGGAGGAGAGGGGGAGAGAGGCAGAGAGGCAGAGGAGAAGAGCGGAAGAGGGGAGAGGGGGAGAGAGAGAAAAAGGTGGGGGGAGGTACAAGCCCCAGAGACTTCTTGTATGACAACGAAAATACTTTAGGTAATCTCACAGCTATCCTCAGAAAGAATAGATAGTAGCCAAATGAAGGGTGTCTCAAAGGAAGCCTGGCTGTTTGCATTTACAGATGTAAATTTCTTTCCACGAAAAAAAACCTCCAAAAAACAAACAAACAAAAAAACCCCCAATAAAAACAAAAACAACAACAAAAAAACAGGCTTCTGGCCAGTCTTGTTTTTCCAGTCACTCTTAACTAGCCCTCTTGAAATCTGTCAAAGAAATATATTTTGGTGTCAAAATATTTTGCTTTCTCACACTAGCTACAAGACAGTAGGGAATATAAACCGCCTCAAGTCCGTTCAGGAGACATATCTAAGGGTGGAAGCAGAACCTATGGGAACCCCTACTTTCACATCCTCACCGGCATAGAAGATAAGAAAGCCACATAAGAAAGCCCAACTGACAATATGTGCCAAGTGCGGCCTGAATGCAAACTGTTGTCATCGCTGACCACGCGCGGGCTTCTCCCCAAGCTCGCACAGCCTCCCAAGTTTCTCACTAAGCCCCCACTTAGAAACACTCCCCCCACCCCAACTGGGTTCCTAAAATGCCCCTAACCAACCATTTCTACGTGATACAGACCCAGAATCACTCGCACAGACATGCCCAATCACTAACCCCCACAAATCCCCTAGCAGTCGCTGACCCTCCCCAGAATCCACCACCAGCAGCACCACTAGATACCCAATCCCACAGGGCGCCAATCACCGCCTGGGACAGGCCCCCTTAATTACTAACCACAATAGGGCCAGAAATTACGGACCGCTGCAGACGCTCAATCGCTGATCAAACTAGACGCCCTACTCCAGCACCGCAGCAGCGGATTACATCTATTCTGAGCATCGGACTCCTCAACTTCCCGCCTCTCCTCCACTGTCCTCAGCAGAGCGCTACGGCCCCGCCCCTTCCGGTGCCGGGGCTGAGGGACTGTACGTGTTACGTAGGAAGCTGGCTCAGCCCGTGACTCGACCCTATCGCGAGAGTTTCTGGACTGTTACGTGAGACGGGGGTTAACCGGCCGCGCCCATGAAGTGGAAAGTGGAACTGTGGATAGCGCCATGTTTCGTGTAAGTGTTGGTGCCGTACGGTAGAGAATTCTTGAGAGCAGGCAGGTGAGTACTGGAATGCGGGAGCTATGGAAAAGGTGTATGGGGACAATGCGGGAGCAAAGACATAAACTTTGAAAGAATTACAAGCAAACAGGATGGAGTCAGCGTACCCGTTTACCTGAAATGTGTAAAAAATGGAAATGCTGCAGAAGGTGCGAAGCACAAAGGTGAGGAAGGGGACTAGGGGGCGAGGGAAGGCCCTCCCTATTATTAAGCAAATAAGGAGAATGAGGCACAGAGAGCTTAGATCAGTTGATCTAGGTCACGTTGCCTCACTTTCCCAGTCTGAGGGATAATAATTGTAAATGTCTGTTGAGCACCTAGTGTGTATTTACTGAGATAGGTTATTAAACTTAGGCTTTAATTGAAGGAAAGCCAGGTTTCAGCAGTATTCTCCCTTTGAGATGGCAGTAGGAAAAGGAAGTCAGAATGCCTCTCATCTGGTGAACTCCAGCTAATCATCCTGGAAAATGAAATTCAAATGTCTTCTTCTGGGAACGTTTTCCCTGATTGGGATGGGAAGACTCTGTCCCCTGTTAAAGACACATCAGATAGCAGCAAAGGGGAAGTGTTTGGGGATAAACTGAAGGATAATTCAGATTCTCTAGATTCTTCTGTCGAACTGGTCTTGAACTTGCTCTGTGCTCTTGGACCAGTCACTTTCCCTCATTGGCAACCCATTATCTCATTTGTAAGGTAGAGGAAGGTTGTGAAACATTCATTTGAGTCAATATTTGCTTATGTAAAGAAAGTTTCAGTGTCAGTGAAAAGCACTTTAGAATCCACACAGTTTGTTAATAATAAATACCATATTATGTTACTACCACAGAATATCCATCCATAACTAACACCTAAACACACTATTGGTTATTTCTGAGAGTTCACTAAGCTCTTTAAAACCAGGTATGGTGGATTTCATGAGTCTGGAATGTCCTTCTGAACCATATGTCAGAAAACTACTATTCATGCTTCAAAGCTAGCCTTCAACATCCCCTTCTCTCTAGGCTTTTCCCAGAGCCCTCAGGGTCACTCATTGCTCATTCTACCCCTGTGAGTTAAGGGTCATGAACCACATTTTAAAGAATGGCCTCTGAGAGGTTTAACCCCTTGTTGAATCTGAGGCTCCTATTATGGGGCAGAGCCATGATTCAAATCCCTCTGTGTGTGTGTTCTTAAGCCACCAGCAGTGGTTTATTAGCAACCACTCCCCCAGGTCCCTGCCTTACCTCTCCTTAAACAGAAAGTGAAGTTTGGTAAACTCCAGGTGACCTTCCCAACCCACTCTCCCCAGAATCACATCCCACTCCAATTAGTATAGTCTTCTTAATAAAAAAGTCAGCATTTCTGATATGCCTTCCTTGCTCAGGAACCTTCCATGACTCCCCTTGCCATAGCAGCAAGTACTCATGCTTCCATAGTCAGCTCTCAGCTTACTGTAAGGCCTCATCAGCCACCAATTCCCCTCACATATCTTAGAGTAGACTGATCTTCCCTCAACATCTTTGATTAATTGTTACCTTTGTTGCAAATTCCTACATACTCCTGTTTTGGGGGTCACTTCCCTAGTTAAAGATCAAGGGAGTCTCCTTTGCCTTATGAAGCCCCAAATTAATACTTCTTACACACACATGTACTAATCTAGTTATTACATATAATTAGATTGTATAATCTAAATCAGGGTCAGAAAACTACAGCTCTTGGGCAAATATGGCCTGATATCTGTTTTTTTTTTTTTTTAAAGATGACTGGTAAGGGGATCTCAACCCTTGGCTTGGTGTTGTCAGCACCACGCTCAGCTAGTGAGCCTGATATCTGTTTTGATAAAGTTTTCGGGCCGGCCCGGTGGCACACTGGATAGTGTGCCGCTTGGGAAGCGCGGCAGCGCTCCCGCCCGAGGGTTCGGATCCCACATACAGACCGGTTCCCGCTCACTGGCTGAGCGAGGCGCGGGAGCAACACCGAGGGTTGTGATCCTGCTGCCGGTCCCCAGTCCGGTATGGGGGCAACACTGAGGGTTGCGATCCGTTGCCGGACACGGAAAAAGACAAAAAAAAAAAAAAGGGCAAAAGATTTGAAGACATTTATCCAAAGAAAATATACAAATGGCTAATAAACACATGAAAATATGCTCAACATCACTAATCATTAGGGAAATGCAAATTAAAACTACAATGAGATACCACCTCACACCCATTAGTATGACAACTGTATTAGTCAGGGTTCTCCAGAGAGACAGAATCAATAGAATATGTTATAATTATATGAGAGGGATTTATTAGGTGAATTAGCCCATGTGACTATGAAGAAAAGTCCCATGAGAGGCCGTCTATAATCTGGATGCCAGTAGTGTGGCTCTGTCCAAGTCCAAAGGCCTCAAAACGAGGGCAGCTAATAGTGTCCTTAGTGTAAGTCCTGGAACACAAAAAGTGAAGAGTCTTCAGCTCTGATGTCCACGGACAGGAGAGAAGAGAGTATCCCAGCTCCAGCAGATTGAGATAGAGAGCTTCACCTCTTTCCTCTGTCTTTTGTTCTCACTGGACCCCCAGCAGATTGGATGGTTCCCACATACATTGAGGGTGGGTCTTTCCCACCCAGGCCACTCAGACTCTTATACTAATGTCTGCTGGAAACACCCCCACAGACACACCCAAAAAGATAGCTTTACCAGGTTTCTCAGCATTCCTTCATCTGACCAAGTTGACACCTAGAATTAACCTTCACAACTACTATCAAAAAAACCCAGAAAATAATGTGTCCTTGAGGATGTGGAGAAATTGGAACTCTTGTGCACTGTTGGTGGGAATGTGAAATGGTGCAGCCACTATGGAAAACAATATGGCAATTCACAAAAAAATTTACAATAGAATTACCATATGGTTCAGCAACTCCACTTCTGGGTATACACCCAAAAGAATTGAAAGCAGAGATTTGAAAAGATATTTGTACATTCATGTTCATAGCAGGATTATTCACATCAGCTAAAACATGGAAGCAACCCCAGTGTCCATCAATGGATAAATGGGTAAAAAAACTGTTGTATATCTATACAATGGAATATTATTTAGCCTTAAAAAGGAAGGAAATTCTGACATATGCTACAACATGGATGAACCTTGAGGGAGTTATACTAAGCAAAATAAACCGATCACAAAAAGACAAAAATTATATGACTGCACTTATATGAAATAGAGTAGTCAAAAGCATAGACACAGAAAGTAAAATGGTGGTTGCTAGGGGTAGTGGGGAGGGAGAATGAGGATTTATTTTTTAATGAGTATAGAGTTTTGGTTGTATAAGATGAAAAGTGTTATGGAGATGAATGGTAGTGATGGTTGTGCAACATTATGAATATATTTAATAACATTGAACTGTAACCTAAAAATGGTTAAGATAGTAAATTTTATGTTGTGTGTATTTTACCACAATTTTAAAAATTGGGAAAAAACATTCTGGTGGATTTTTTAGTTACTCCCATTAGCTTATAATGCTTACTTTACTTTAAACAATGAAAGTAATTCTTAACTGTGCAAATGCTCCAGGATAATCATGTTGTGGGGGATGTTCTGTTCAATATTCCATTCCACTCTCAGCTGGACTGTAAGGTGAGAGAAAGCAAGGTCAGACAAAACATGGAATGACATCATGAGGAAAAAATATGTGTAGACTCTTATGTGCTGCAGATGTGTGCAGATGTGGAATGTGCTACTTACTGTGATACAAATTTATAATCCAAAGATTGTCTCTATCTAATCGAATATAATCAATATACATCTAAAAGTGGTGATTCTTACCGATTATTATAGAAAAGAGACGTAACCAATCAGGGAAAGCACATACACTAGAAAAAGCAAGGCACCAAAGATGGCACCCTGGAAAATACAAACTAGTGAAGGACGAGAAGAGAAAGGGGAGCTGATGACATAAATAGAGGAGAAACAGAGGTAGCCAGAGATGAAGAAGAGTAACTAATGGTGAATATTTCAAAGAAGGAGGAAGGATAAAATGTCATATGCAACAACAACAAAAAACACACTAAGATAAGGACAAGAAAATATCCCTTGGATATAATAACAGCAAGATGGCCTTTGTAGAAATTGCTTCAGAGTAATGAAAACAAAACCTACTGCATTATACTGAAGTGTGTATGTGAAATGAGGAAGTGGACACAGAAAGATATCAGTTTTCAAGAAGCTTGTGTGTTGAGGAAGAGAAAGATGAAGGTGCAAGTTACAAGATGGTATTTTTAATTTGATAGAGTTTGAACAGGCCAAAGATTGAGGGGAAAAGCTCTAACGTAAAAGGAGACGTAAAATGCCCAAAAGGGAGTGGATCCCTTAGTGGGGAATGATCCCAAGATATAAAGGAGGAAGGTCCCAAGGTAAGCAAGAGATCAAAAACAAGGGGGAAATAGAAAAACAAAATTTGACTACACAAAATTTTTTAAAAATTCACAATGGAACCAAAAATAAAATCAAAATTTAAATTATCTGGAAATACATTATTTTTAAGAAAATTATAAAGACACAGATCAAAAGTCCAATAGAAAAAAAAAGACAGGTAAATTAAACAACCATTTTATGTTGATAAAGATTTAAAGGATTGATAATATCCACTGTGAAAATAGCAAGTATGCAATTATTAACAGATAATTAGTAGATGGCAGACAATTAAGCAATATCCTCAAAACTTACTATGGGTCAAAACAACTTTGAAAAAGAAAAACAAACTTGGAAAGCTTACTCTACCTGACTTA